GTGTGTGTGTGTGTGTGTGTGTGTGTGTGTGTGTGTGTGTGTGTGTGTGTGTGTGTGTGTGTGTAAGAACATATGTCAAAGCAAAGCTGACCTGAGTGTTGCGGTCTGTGAGATGGACATGCAGGTGACTGAAGCCTTGTGTACTACTGGGGGAAATCTGCAGGACGGTGCAGGTGCTGAGGTGGAATTCTGGGGAGCTATCTGCACTCCTCAGGAAGTCCTCAGTCCTCAGCTCCTCCACCCGCTTCAGTCGCCCGCTGGCTAGCTCAATCAAAGAACCCTTGGTGAAGTGAGGTAGGAGTGCAGGGGGAGATGGGTGATGATGGGAAGGAGACAAATCTCTCCCTCTGTCTCTTTCTCTGTCCCGTCGTCTCTCACGCTCACTGTCTCTTTCTTGGTCTTTGTCATACTGTGATTGCTTCTGTTTTTCTTTATCTGTACTGCGCTCCCTCTCCCTTTGTGTGACCTTGTCTCTTTCTTGGTCTCTGTCCTGGTCTCTTTGTGGCCTGTCATGGCTGTTAGGTAGACCCAGTGGTGAGTGTGGTGAGTTCCTATAGTTGTGCTGTCTGGGGCCTGGCTCCCTGTGCAGGCTGTAAAGACTTGTTCCTGAGGAGCTGTAGAGTGGATAGGTTTGAGCCTGAGGGCTGGAGGGACATGCCGATCCCAAGGAGTAGATGATTTGGGTTTCAGCTGGTGTGGCCCCTAGGTGATCCAATAGTCCCCCTCTACTTGCCCTGGAGTCTGGTCCAAGAGGATGGGGACTGAGAGAAAGCAAATTGGAGCTGGTCTTAACTATTCCAGGCAGATGTCTATCCTGCAGTGAGGAATGTGGCTCAGCGGCCCCCTGAGCTTGAGAGTCTGACAAAAATGGCCCTCCAGAATGGATACGTGTTGTTAGATCCTCCTGCTGTCGCCGTCCACCATTGGCATGGGAGCTGTGTGGACTAATATCAAGCTGGGCTCTGCTGCTATCATTCCCATAGTCTCCTGTGAGCAGAGGCCTAGAGGCTGAGGCAGTCCTGCTGCCTGACCCATCCAGGCCATTGGGCCGCTTTCCCAAGTACCTGGGTCTCACTTCAACTAAGCTTGGTTCTTGGGAGTAGAGAGGGTGGTGGCCAAACAGGTATGATGGGGAAAAGAGAGAGGAGCTATAGTCCCGCCGACCGCTGTTAATATAGGACCACATCTCTCTGGGACTGGCTGGGAAGGGAGTCTTAAAGGATGAAGTAGAGGAGGATGATGGAGAAGGTGGCAGAGAAAGGGGAACCTCCCCTCTGAGCCACCTGGAGTGATGGGGCAGGGATGAGGAAAGAGGATCATCTCTCCAAGCGGGTGATCCTGAGCCCCTCCTTTCGCTGACCTGCCCTGTGAAGAGCGGAAGAGAAACAGTGGGTGAATAGCTTAGGGTCCATGGTATGGGCACAGGGAGGCCTGGTATTGGAGCAGGAAGGGGTGGAGGAGTATGTAGGAGATGCGGGTTCGGATTTGCCTGGACACGGTCCCTTTCACTGGCTTCTCCTCTCCCTATACTGGACCGACTCCGCAGAGGTACAGGGGGTTTAAACTCATCCAGGGGGATGTGGTGTTCTGCTGATCCTTGGCGAGACTCCCTCTTCTTCGGAGGGAGGCACTCTTTGCCGCGGTCAGGGCTGGGATTCATGGGTGGGCTCCAGCGGCAGTGGGGGCCCCCTGTTTATGGGTGTAGGCTAGGTCACATGGGCCTCACGGGAGAAAGAGGGGTGCAGACAGAGGGGAAAGCTGACACACAGCATCACTGTCAGATCACTGTGGATTCTCTTGTGCTGAAGCACCACTCACCTACAGAGAGGATAAAAGAGGACAGAAAACAGAGATAGGTGGGTAAACTTGAGGGAGGGGACCGAGACAGAAGTAAGAGAGATTAAGTGTGAACACTGAAGAGGAACAGTCTGTTAGGTCCTGGCATCAGTTGTAGTTAGGACTTAGCTGTCAGTCTGGTCAGACATACAAACAAACATTCTGCTGTATCAGGCAGATGGAGAGAAATCAGTTGGTGACTCCCTCTTCCAAACTACTTTAAAGAGGTTAGAAACTCCAAGCTTTTCTGATTGCTGTAGCTAATTAGTCATTACCTTTGCAGTGCGGTGGGACTGAAACCACCCAACTTACTCGATTCATTCAAACACATTACTCCCACATGTGGGCTAAAAATACATTTTGCAGCCAGTGAAGTTCAGAGGCAGTGCAGTATGTATGTGTATGAGTGCGCAAAAACACACACGTAGAGCACTCACAGCAGGAGAGTTTTCATCTCTGACTCTCAGGGGATGATTGGAATATGCAGATACATTTTTGTACCACTTTCATGAACCACCCCCTCGACACCCTCGGGTGCTCTCTTTATTCTATATAAGCTTTACTACTAACACCCCTCCAACCCTTCTCTCTGAGACAAGCACATGGACAGCAACAGACACACAAATACTCCCCTCAGGCAGCTGTACTTACTCCCCCAGTGAAAGGCAAAGCTGGTCACCACCCACCCAAAGCTGACAGAAGCACTGTTGATATTACCACCAGTTGTTGTGGATACAGGGTATATGTCTTTGCATATTAATTATGTGTCACAGCAGGGAATGCAGGGGGAAAATGCGCGTCTGTTTGCGTCCCTGCACGCACGTATGCGATGTTTGTTTGCGTGCATGTGTTATTTTTCTTTTTTCCCTGGAAAAATATGTGAATGTGTTTATTTGTTTAGGTCTTTGTGTGCGTGTGTGTTTGTGTTTGAGTCCTCAAATGTGTCAGAGATTTTGCAGCCTTGTTTCATTCAGTGAGAAGTGCGGGGGAGCTCCTTCAATTCTTCTCCAAATGCTTTAAATGAGCTCTTTTGAAATGATGGCTGCCACGCTCCGAGTCCAGCTGTTCCCTCCGCCGCCACCGCCATCGTTGTTCCCGCCGCACCAGCCCCGCACTCACCCGCAAGTCTGTCTCAACTGCCTACCGACTCCCTGCCGTCTCACCATCCGCCACACTGTCACCATGGCAACTGTATCCACACACACTCACACATCCAGCTGGTTAGAGAGGTTAGATAGGGATACTCCATAGAGAGGCGGGAACACTGTTGCTCATCAAGTGACTTGGTCCAAAAACAGAATAAGTGTTAGAGTGGAGCAAGCTGTTTGTGCATCTGAGTTGAAAACTGAAAACTGGGCAGTGAGAGGAGGGGCTTTCTTTTATCCCGGATGCCGGCAAGAAAGGTGAAGAAAATTCGTAAATGTTTATAATGCACAATAATTAGGTTAGTAGATGAAGCAGATGATGAGGGTCAATGTTAAGTGACTTCTTTTAAGTTATGCTGAAAGCTGGGGGCTAAAAAAAGGCCTTGTGTTTCAAAAAAGATATATTCTGGATATGGGGCCTTAATCAGACGTTACGTAATCTACAGACATTTTCAATGTGCGTTCATCTGAGCTGTTAATATTTATGTTCACAATAATTTGTTAAATTCATTGACTTAAAGTTTTATTGGTTTCTTCAATATGCCAAAAAAGCCTTTTTAGAAAGCAATAAAATAAACCTAAAAACAAACATCAAAATCAACAAAGTATTCAAAGGCTTTCTTATGTTTTTTTTTTCTATAGCAGAATTTCATTAAACAAGCACTTGTCTAGAATCCAGATGTCTTAAATAATAATAAAAAAAATTGGCTTCAGCTTTTGTCCTCATATGACTCTTATACTCTCGCCATCTTGACAGTCATTATGAAAAAGGTTGTCAAAATAGACCGAATATAAACTTGCCAAAAAAAAGTACAAGAAAACAAAGAACACAATTGTACATGTGGAGGAGTTTGCAGAGAAATGTCAGGTTCTAACAGAATACTCCTACACTGTGCAGACATGCACACAGAGAGTTGGAATTTAGCTGGAGCTACTGTTGTTGTAACATTTAAATATATCAAAAGCGTCCGATCAAAGCCATAATGATGTTACATGTTCCTTCCAATTAGGGATTCCTCAGTTTTTTGCATGGCTTTGTAACAATATATGCGATTAATAAATGCAAGTGTGTCTCATTTTCACTACAACTTATAAAATAATCCATAAATGTTCTTTTTATTACATTGAAATGCAAAATGCTTACATTTTCAACTTCTGAACAACTTCAAAATTTGACATGTACATTTGCAGTGCTCTTCCTCGTCCCGCCTTTTCTCTTCACACATTACTCAGGAGTAATGTCCAACATCAAAAAAACAGAACTGCTAAATTTTGGTTGCTACTTTTGCCTACTTTGATATTTCGCCCATTTTTTTTTTTAAATAAAGAAACATCAAACAATAGTTCCATCATTCTAACTGCAACAAAAACACATGTAATAGGTGCTCTTATCCAAGGAGAAGACAGACAAGTTGATGGAGTTGCAAGTTGTTGTGACTTGATGTCACACTGACCTTACAGCAGGCTAAGCAGACATCCCGGAGTTGGCAGTCATTCATATTGTAGTCCTCCCAGAGGGTCAACCCACTCCTCAGCTCCTTACTGTGCTACACTGCTTCTCCAAAGCACTACAGCCAGTTACAACACCCGCAGATATCAGCAGCTTCCAGCTACACACTGCCTCTGATCTCTGTACGCATGAAATAGCACCAGCGAGCCCACCAAACTGAGGGAAAAAACTGAGAGCCTGCTATCCGTCTGTGTCTGTTGTGTATATGAGTACGTGTGTGTCAAGTGAGTGTGTATATGCTTGTGTGTGCAAAGGGCTGAGGAAATGAGTAATATCTAGCAGTGAGAAACATGTCTGCTATGCAGAGCCACACAGGCAGACCAGTTGCTGCTGCCGCCCACTTGCTTTAATCACTGTGAGGGATACAAACATGCATACACTTATATACACACACGCATACACATATATGTATACATTGTATACATATTTATATTTATATATGTGTGTGTACACTTATATAAATATATATATGCACACACAATCGAGGATGCAGCCCATATAGATTATATACTGCACACCCAATCTTAAATGCATAAAATAAAATAAAATAAATCAGTAATGAAAATCATTCATCTATACGTGTGAACATATTTCAGAAGACATACTGCCACATTAAAGTAAGGGAGGGATAAAGGGGAGGCAGAGACTGTTGAGAGACAGGGAGGGACGTGGTAGGAGGCTCATCCTACACACACTCTCAGACTTAGGCTTTTGCTGCTGCCTCTGACTCAAAACTAAACCTCACATCCATCAAGCGCGCACACACAAATACACACACACAGACACACACACACAATACTTGCTCTTTTTTGTTTATCTGTAGTTTCATCTGAATTTGTGTCCTTTGTTCTCATCAAAGCACTTTATGGCGAACCTGCTTGTTCAAAGAGCTTTTATGAATACATTTGATTTGACTTCATATGTATGCACACACACACACACACACACACACACACACACACACACACACACACACACACACACACTCACAGACACACACTCATACTCAGGCTCGTACGCTAACAGGAGCACTGCAGGAGAGCTCTGAATGATTTGCTTCAGTGATTCAGTCGATACAAGTGAAGTGTGTTGGTATAGCGGGTATGGCTTATTAGGTCTGTATCAGCGCGAGCAGTGTATTTCATTCACAGCGAGAAATCAAAAACCTGTCAGTGATAAAGCCTTCTGAAAAATAATAAACAGGCCCTGCACTGAAAACGCAATACTATGCAAATAACCCTGTCTGATTCTCGTCAAAGAAACAGGGCCAAACCTCATCTCAAACAAGCTTATGTTAATTATCAGCACAAAATTGCGATTCAGAAACAAGAACATAAAGTGGAGCACAAGAGAAAAAAGGATTTAATGAAGCAATCAAATCATTATTCACGGTTAAGTGAAAAAAAAGAAATCTTTCTGTTCCTTTACAGTTCTATAAGCAAACCATTTGTACCCACCAACAGCACATCAGAAGTTAATCTTGTCTAACTTCTCATCTTCAAAGAAATGGAAAGCTAATCAGACAAGTAGGTGTGTGTTCAAAAATCAGCCTAAAGGCCACATTAAAACAATCTCAGAGTCAGGCGACAACTGCCAAGTGCATCTCCTCTGACATTTAGAAAACATTACTTGTATTTTTTTTTTCAAAGTGAAAATGATGTGCATCGAGGTTGTGTGGGCATGAGTGCTGTCTGCTAAAGCAATTGTTAAATTTATGTGGGTTATTTGAGTATCACAATCATATCACAAGAGACTGTAGGTAAATTCATGAGGCGGTGCAGATTAAGAACAACACGGCATATATTAGGACTTTAAATGAAACTAAATTTTACATTAAAAATAAAATTGAAAAAAATATTTTGAAGGTAATTAGATTTTTTTTTATTAGGTAGACTGCTCCACTAGGCCATAATGAATAAAGATAAAATATACCAAGTATAGTAGGAACAAAGGTAGTTCACAAACAGAACATAATTTGCAGTTGTTAAAAAAAGCTGTATTACATTATGTTTATTTTATAATTGTTTCTCACTTGTCTTGCATTTCTTTCCAACCCATTTTTATGACAGCGGGAGCAGTAATTATAACAAGAGCTATGAAGAAATACTCAAAATCCATAGTTTATCTTGCAAAACTATATTTATGGTGATGGACATGGACATAAAATCTGAATCACAAGTCCCTGTGTCGCTGTTTACAAAAAAGAAACTTAAATGTAGCTGTGCATTTGCATTTTTTTCTGATCTAGAGCAATAATTAAATATGCACTTTTTTTCTATGGTGTATCACTTTCAACAGTGCAAAGTTACACATTACTGTATGTGGGAGATTGACTGGAATGGATTCGCACTTACGCCTTTACCGCTTGCACTGTAACTTGTTGGCCAATCATTGCAATAGAAAAGAAAGAAAAGAAAAAAGATGAAACGGTTTTATGGCACTGCATATCACAAAGAAGAAGAAAAAAAAAACCCATCGTGGCAGATGCCTGCAGAGGCAGGATAACACATTCCAAAAGATTTGGTTTTTTTCGGCAATGCATTGCAAGGGGACGTATCTGTTGTGATTTGGATGAGAGGCTGTAGCCCGACAGACAGAAATGACAGAAGGCGTATAAAAATCGCTCTGTAATTTACCATAAAGCACTGCACGAACATTTCCACTTATTTTTACATTTTTTAAATATATATTTCCTTTGTGCTAGTCAGTACCGTAGAAGAGTGTGGTATTTCTTGTATGTGTAGCAAAGACATAATAAAAAAAAAGAAAAGAAAAAATAAAATGTACGGAAAATAAGTCTCACAGATTTTGAAAACTGGTTCAATTATTTTGCATATTAAGACTTATTCATTATACTTTACTAATACTACTATAGGTTGCTAATAATTACACATACCATATTACATATAAGTGACATATGTAAGTGACTGACAAGATAGCAAGCAGCAGGCAGTTGTAAATAATGATTTACAAGGCTGTGCCAAGGCCCTTCTAATCAGTTAAAAGAGTGACAAATTGCCTTTCTGATGTGACGAGACGAGATGTGGAGGCTGAACGAATAGTTTTGAAAATTTCAACTTTGAAAAATACACAAAAGCAACCAATTTCTAAAACAATGGCTGATTTACTGTACCTTTATTTCATATATTTTTTTATTTTTTATTTCAATAAATTGGATGATTATGCAAGATAACTTGCCGCTTAAATAAAAGATTTTAAACTAAAATCAACAAAGCCAGGTCAGTTAGCAGATGCAATACTTTCATATTGGAAAAAAAAAAGGAAATAATTTAAATGTTCAGGTGTAAATAAAATCATATGAACACAGTCAGCTTTTATATGAAACACTATTCAGTATTTGATAGACATTTACACGTAATAGCCCAGTCATAGTGAAAGAGAAAGAAATAGGACTGGGTTCATCACTGGGTATTTACTATGACAGAGGTATAGAAATGACTGTTGTCTTCTACTTATGTAGCACGCTTTGAAATTCAAGCAAATTCAAACGTATATATACAAATATTAACACAACAAACACACACTGCGTGTTAATCATTTATGGTACTATGATAGCACTAAGGCGTTTGGTGTACTCTTCCTCAGTCTCTTCTGTTTCTGCTTGTCTCACTCTCTAGCTTTGCACTATTTAATCTGTCCATCTCACACACACACACCTACACACACACACACACACACACACACACACGGGGTCAGGCCAAGACGAGAAAGGTCAGATGAGTCAGACTACATCCAACAAACCGTAGCAGGAGTGTAAAGTACCATGAGGGGTTAAAGACCTCTACAGTTGAGGATTTAGAGAGCATGGGACATTTGACTTTTTTTTACATTTTTTTAAAGAAAATGACATTTAGTGTGGGGGTTCCCCACCCCCAACCAACCCCCACCTCTCCCTCATCCTCATGTGTAGCCTTGTATTAAGTATCCGATCACGTTTCAGGCTGGGTAGAAGATCTATGATGGACGTCTGATGCAGCAGAAATTTGTTGCTGAATGTAACAGATCAGAACAAAGGGAAGAGAAGAGGAGACAAGAGAAGAAGATGTGGGGGGGAGAGGAAGAGAGAGAGAGAGAGAGAGAAAGCGAGAGAGAGAGAGAGAGAGAGAGAGAGAGAGAGAGAGAGAGAGAGAGAGAGAGAGAGAGACTTTATATTTATATAAACTTTGTTTTGATTTGCACCCACCATTCCCTTTAAGTCAAGCACTGGACAGGCAATGGGATGGTTTTTAATGGATTAAAACCGCACCATCACATCGCAACTGATCCACTGGATCCCCTTTGCTGTAGGGGTCAAGCGTCTTGATTAATTTGTAGACCAGTTAGCAAACATTCTCATTCGTTATAATTTTCTCATTTATTAGGATGAGCTGTGGTGGTAGAGTAAGGTTGAGGTGTGGGATGGGAGGGGTGGGTTGTGGGGGGGAGTACTACTAGCTTTGTGCAGCAGATTACTCTACAAAAAGCCAGGTTAAGCTGATAAAAGGACACGGTGATACGGGCTTGTTGGGCAAAACGCCAGGTCAGCCTTCAGGGCACTGACCCATTCTTCAGCAGGATGAGCCAGCAGCCCTGCCCGCAGCAGGTTCATCATAATGAAGATCAGATTATGGCTCAGGAGTTACTATTAACACCCCTACACACACACACACACACACACACACACACACACACACACACACACACACACACACACACACGGAAGATAAAAGGAAAGCAAATAGGTGCATGCAAAGAGTCATAAGACTGATTCTTTGT